CCCCTGGAAAGGCAGATAAACAGCATGTTTGAATATAGGAGTGACAAGAAGTTGAAGGAAGCCAGCCACTATGCAGGATTTTCTTTATATTTTGGGAAAAATAATTCTACTCTTAATGCTAGTAGTAAAGACTCCACTTAGAGACAAAGGCCCTGGGAAACCACAGCTTCTCCAGGCCTCGTGTGCTTCTCCAGGTTGGCTGTGGGGAAACCTGCCTGTTCCACCTGCCTTTTGGGAAGCCAATGGCCACCTCCTCCACAGTCTTCACTCCTGAGCATCTCCTCTGATAAGCACAGCAGATGTGGCTGTAAAACACCAGGACACATGGTGTCAGGTACAAAGGCCAAGAAAGGGAAAGATCACTTTTAATTTTTAACAAAATTTCCATATTGTTATATGGGGCAACCACATCAGCTGCTCATAGATTCAATAGTTTTTATACGAGGGGAAAAATATAAACATACTTAATCTTCAGTTTACCGTTGAGTAACCTGCAGCATTATAAGATGGAGGTGCTTTAGTCAAAGCCAGTTATTCCCCAGGTCACAAATATCTCCCGACAGCCTACAGTGAGCCAGAGGTTGCCCATAATTTCAACAACAACCACAAAAAAGTTTCAAGCTGTTCCAGTGGTGTGTGTGTGTGTGTGTGTGTGTGTGTGTGTGTGTGTGTGTTTGCAAGGGGACAGTGGAGAGAGATGGAAGGTTGCAGGCACAGTGAGGACACAAAGACCTGGTAGAAGCACCCAACAGAAGAGGTGATGGGTGTCGCTCTTCCCAGCACACACACAGCAAAGACCAAGGAGAAACAGTTGGACCAGGGTATGATGTGTATGTGCATGGATACTAAGTACAAGCTTGCAGAGTTGAGAAGTTATAATTATGGATCTGCAAGTCCCTGAATCTAAGTGCCGCTCTTTGTCACACTGTGTGTTCCTGAGAACTCCCAGTCACTAGGGTTGCAGGTCACAGTTGTGGAGATGGGTGAAAGAAAGGTGAGGCAACGAACTCATAGAAACAGAGTAATGCTTTCTTACGTCATTCTTCCAAGGTGTCCTTCCCTGTGTCCTGAAGAAGTATGGGCGCTGCTCCCAAGTTGGTAGAGACAAGCATCGTGTGCTGACACTTTGATTAATATCTTTTTGCCATTTATTCACTCATTTATATTTTCTGTGATTTACCAAGCATTTATTTTGTCCTGAGTACTGTGCCAAGCCATGAAGATATTAGTATAAATACTATAACATTAAATACTGAAATAATTAGGGAAGATGATAAAATTTAATATTTTACTTTTAACGATTAGTGATTAATTTATCAGGGATCTCAGAATCACAAGAGAAAAAAAAAATCAGTGTTTTAGTCTTGACCTCATCTGATGTTTGGGATTCTGACATAGGTCTTCCTTCAACTCCACTTGAAGAGATGGGTCTCGATCTAGGTATGACAAAGCCGGGGTCATTGGGGAGCTGTTATAGAAGATAGTACATTAGGTGATTTTCATGTAGATAAACATTTGCCAGTGAAGAGTTTTCAAATCTTATAAGACACCTTCCCAAATCATTCTGTGTCTCTTCTCTTTTTTTAAAAAATACAACTTTTTTCATTATTTTCTTCTTTTTTTACTTAAATTTATTTTCTTTTTTGAGTTTATTGGTTCATTTTAGGTATACAGTACAATTACATTCATCATTGGGATCCAGTACCTTTACATGACAGGTCTTAGTTCTCATTTTTTCCCCTTGTCCATGCCCTCCCTTCACCCCCTCCTCCCTCTCCATTTACAAACATGTTATTTCCATTTTTCATTTTGTCATATTTTTTTCTTTTCCCTTATTACTTTTCCCCTACCCTTCCCATTTTCCGTACACCTTAAGCCCTTTTCTTCCTATTTCACATGGTCAATTATCTCATTAGGATCTTATGTGCTATTATAGCTTTTCACACCAGAGAAACTATTAGATATTTACACATGTATGACTTATTTATTTCCCTTAGGAGTATATCCTCAATATGTACCCATTTTCCTATGAATGACTCTAATTTCTCATTCTTTATGGCTGAGTAGTATTCCATTTTATAGAAAAACCACATTTTCTTTATCCAATTTCCAACTGATAGGCAAATGGGCTGCTTCTAAGATTTAGCTATTACAAACTGTGCCACTATAAACATGGGTGCATATATATCACTGTGGTATAATTCCTTTAATTCTTTTGGAAAGATACTCAGCAGAGGGATGGGTGGTTCAAATGGAACCTCTAGGCCCAGCTCTTTGAGGTATCTCCATATTGATTTCCATAATGGGTGCACCAGTCTGCACTCCCACAAACAATGGAGAAGGGTTCCCTTCTACCCACAACCCCGCCAACATTTGTTATTGTGTGGTTTCTTGATAGCAGCCATTCTTTGTGGGGTGAGGTGGAATCTCAGTGTTGTTTTCATCTGCATCTCTCAAATGACCAGTGATGTGGAACATTTTTTCAAATACTTACTGGTTGCTTTTACTTCTTTGTCTGAGAAAATTCTGTTCATTTCAGATGCCCATTTTTGAATTGGGTCTTTATATTTGGGGGGCTGATTGTTTTGAGTTCTTTGTATATTTTAGGTAGTAGTCCTTTGAGGAGCAGCTGGTAAAATTTTTTTCCCACATTGTAGGTTGTCTCTTAGTTCTGTTGATGGTTTCTTTTGCAGTGCAGAAGCTTTTTAATAAGATGAGACACCAGTTGTTGATTCTTTCTGCTAGTTCCCATGCAACTGAGGATTTATTCATAAAATCTTTTCCTATGCCAATGTCTTCAAGAATTCTGCCTAACTTATCTTCCAGCAAGGTTAGTGTTTCTGTTTTAATATTTAGATCTTTAATCCACTTGGATTTTACATTAGTGCATGGTGAAAGATAAGGGTCTAGTTTAATCTTTGGCAGGTTGAGATCCAGTTTTTCCAACACCATTTATTAAAGAGGCTATCTTTCCTTCAGTGGGGATGGTCTTCACCTTTGTGAAAGATGAGGTAGCTGAGTACATCTGGAGTTGTTTTTGTGTCCTCCAGTCTGTTGCCCTGATCCTCAGTTCTCTTTCTTTGCCAGTACCATGCTGTTTTTATCACAGTGGCTTTGTAGTACAGTTTCAAATTGGGAATTGTTATACCCGCTGCCATGTGTCTGTTGCCTAGTTTGGCTTTTTCTATTCTAGGTCTCTTATAGTTTCAAATAAATTTTGGATTATTTTTTCTAGTTCTGTGAAATACAGTGTTGGAATTTCATTTGGCATTGCATTGAATCTGTATAGCAGTTTTGGTAGTATGGCCATTTTCACTATGTTGATTCTTCCTACCCAGCAGCAGGGTACATGTTTCCATTTTCTTATATCCTCTTCAATCTCTTTTTTCTTAGTGTTGTAGTTTTCAGTGTAGAGTTCTTTTGCTTCTTTTGTTAGATTGATTCCTAGCTACTTCAGGGTTTTTTATTTTTTATTTTTGGATGCTATTGTGAAAGGAATTGTTTCCCCAATTTCTCTCTCAGTGAGTCTGTTATTTGTGTACAAGAAGGCCATTGGTTTTTGGATGTTCACCTTGTATCCAGCTACTCTGCTAAAAGTGTCAATTAAGTCTAGAAGTCTTTTGGTAGAGGTTTTTGGGTCTTCAATGTAGAGTATCATATCATCGGCAAATAATGACAGCTTAACTTTTCCTTTCCTATCTTTATTGCTTTAATTTCTTTCTCTTGTCTAATTGCTATGGCTAATGTTTCCAGAACTATATTGAAGAGGAGTGGTGATAGTGGGCATCCTTGTCTTGTTAGTGTGGTGATAGTGGGCATCCTTGTCTTGTTCCTGATTTTAACCTGAAAGTTTTCAGTTTTTGGCCATTTAATATGATGTTGGCTGTTGGTTTTTTATAGATAGCCTTGGCTGTTGGTTTTTCATAGATAGCCTTTATCAAGTTGAGATCATCTA